TAGACAGAAATAGCTTCTTAATGAAAGTCTTATTGCATATTTGTACAATTTCATTATTGTTAAAAGGTGCAAAAATGTACCATCCAGGCTCGAGAATAGCCATTCCAGGCGCTACTTTTCTCCTGACAGGATTCGACCAACCACCAGAAGTAATATTTTGATTGGCGACGAACCACCTTGCCGCATCATAAAACTGCTCCATATGTTCGCTGGTCGATAATGTCATATTGTCAATCATACCAGAGCCGTATAAAGTAATTTTAATTACCTAAAATAAAACGTGATTTGTATTAAAGCTATTTAAAAAATATATGTCAAGATGTTAATATAAAATTATATCATTCAAGTGACGATTACCTTCAATTTAGATCGTGGTATCTTTTTCTTACTTTTATCGTTTAAATAAAGACCTTTTTGTAAGTCAACTACGAGATCTCTAGTGAGACGTCTCCACTGATGATTAATCTGTCCGATTCCATAATGCACATGATTATTATAATTATGTAATACTATATTGCTAGTAACATAATGAAGGTAGTACATCTCTTTTTTTTCTCTCGACTGTAGTATAACCGTAATACTTCCATTATCTTTGATATTAAAATCCCACTTCAACACGAAGTCCAATACGTGATCCAGTTTTAGAGAAATCCCGGAGGTGCTCGTTTCTGGCGTAGCAAATTTCAGGACATAACTATTAACTTGCTTGTCGTACACTCTGCTCATAACCGATCCTTGAGGAACGTTCCAGTTTTGTTTAACTTTGTCAGAATCCTCGATAGTCTTCCTGTGTGGTTCGGGCTCAGTTAAATTTTTGCTATAATGTGATAATCCAAATTGAGCAATTTGTGTGGGATAATAGTATCCTTGGCTCTCCCACTGCGTTGATATTGGTACACCGTCGATACCGCTGATGCATTTGACTCTATCCCTAACTTCGACGTTGTAATTTTCGAAAGTCATAAATACACCATGAGGATCATACTTTCCCTTGGGGCTTATGATCTTTGAATAACTGTGCAGCCACTCGAATCTTTCCAGACCGTCGTAAGTGGCTAGTTTTCCATAAATCTACAATATATAAGTTTTTATAATATACTTATAGTATATAGTATACTCTATCGCTAACAATTCAACTGACCTCGAAATACTTGTGAATAAACGAGAATGGTATGTACACTTCGTCGCCTTCTTTGCGACATCCTATAGAGTAGTCACCGTTTATATGACAATCTATCTCTTGGTATCCCAATTCTATATTCGAACGATCCTATTTTTAACATACCACATGTAAGAATGTATACTATCTTAAATTAATGTAGATTAATATGTTAAAATCTCCCGCTGTTACATCCAAAAATATAATATTTGCCTTGCCTTGTGTTGATATTTGGCTTTCCAGTCCGTATGAAACAGCAGACTTCCGCAATTATTCCATGACGCAAGTAGAAAACTTAATGTCGCGACAACCAATACAAGCAAGGTTGTCTTAAAATTCAGTCGCATCATCATATAAAACCTGTCGACACAAGCAACAACCATTAGAATAACATATATATTGTTGTGTATTTTTGTGTGGATTATGTTCACATCACAAATACTTTGAATCACTCAAAACAATAGCTATAATATATCGATAAACCTATTGTTTTCAGATTATTGAGTAAACCTACGCGGCACGGATGTCACGAGCGGCTCGTCATCTTATAATCTCATTCCTCAAAAGCTCTCATGTCCAACTAATTTCATTTCACCCGGAGATCATTTCTCCGGATACATCGACAATCAGCTCTCACTATTTTCTATTAGCAATAAGATTACAAACAAGGTACAAAAGAGAACATTTCTTTGCATAGACATCTAACAGACTTTTTCTAAATGCCAGGTTACCGTTGACTTGTCGAGTTTCTTGGTAGTTAAGCCATCTCTTTGCAGATGTGCCTTCAGGGCACAGTGTGCAATTCATCAAAATATTTCCTTGAGATCATCATCGCCTCGCAAAGACCAAACTGCTGCAAAATTACATCAATGTGGTTATCCACATTTTCAACTATCTAACTATATGAGCCTCCCAGAAAACAAATTAAATAGAAAGTAAAAACTTATCATAAATTATATACTTTAAGATTAATTCACTGGATTATATTAGACTGGATACGTAAACGTTAGACATTAGATTACATATATAGATAGCATCTACATGTTAGAGAGAGCTACATGAAGTATTTAAATGATTTAATAAAATAATAGCTATGCTGTTAAATAATATGACATTGTCATTATCATTGGATGAGTACATGTTCTCACATTTAAATAATTTCATGTATAGCAGCTTTTCACATGCACTACTCTGATATAATACAGATGATCAAATTTGTTGAGAAATTTACAGAAAGTAAAGCTCGATCAAATGTAATTCTGAAAAAGGTCAAAAAAACAGTCTTTATTTCTAAGAATAATTTTAAATCGAGGATTAATTTAACCGGGCGGAAATGAAATTTCTAACTAAATAATTCGCCTCGAATAATTCGCAATCTCACCTTCCATATGTTGGGTGACAGAAAAGAAGAATTGTTCACATAAAAATATTGCTCGATAAATTAATCGCCGATTAAATAAATCAGAATCCGAGATCAAGATCGAAGCTCCTCGAGGCCCTTCTCTGATTTTGGACTCTAGAGGTGGCCCTCGTCTCTATTCGGTGCGAATGAAAGTAACGATCCAAGGCGGAATCGGATATTACCGGCGATCCGACGAGGCCGCTTCGTGTAGTTTCATCGGAAAATCTTCGTACGTGATGAGTCACAACCGCGTCTTCCTACCTCCTCCGTTGGAGATTCCCCGCTCGCTACCGCTGTGTCGCACAGTGACACGGTTTTGTGGTTATAACATATGATTGCAGATTCCAAGAACCCAGTGGCGTGCTCTTCTCGCCCCTCCCTTCGCCGCCGAGCAACCCTGGAGACGCGGTGCGCGTGCGTGCGCCCTCGTCTCTCGGCTTTTAAACCCTTGGAGGATACACGTGGGTTGACAGGGTGAATTCGTTCTCGGTACGGACGTTTTGCTAGCGCTTTACCATGAGTTCCAAGGACATCTTCGTGGGCGGGAAGTTGGGTGTTTTTAAAGGTAACCCAGATGACTGTCTCGACGATGCGAATTCATTTGTAGGTTATGTACAACCTGCAGTTCGAGCAAGTATATTTTCTTCTTGGGTCTCACGAGGGTAAATTGCAGGGATAAAGATCGGCCGAAAGAAGGATGTGGTCAAAAATATACAAAACCTGGCGACTCTCACGGAGAACGATCAGGTGACTACGATTGCATGGGGTGATGATGATGAGCGAGAGGTGATGACAGCTTGTGGCGTTAAGGGTGAGAGAAGGTAGTGCATTTCTCCAGCGGTAAAACCTGCTTTATTTCTGTACTTCTGTAATATAAAATATACTAAGAGCGTTATCGATTCTTTACAGAATAAAGATCTATGATGCAGAGAGCTTGGTCCTGACACATTCATTTCCCTGTGATGCAGGCAAAGGCGAAATCAACGGGATATCACGATACGACAAGTAAAATCAAATTGTTGACTCAAAACTGCCGTTTTATATACCAATGTGCACCAACATTACCTAATAAAACAATCTGCGATTTTGTCTCAGATCTATTTTGACGGCGGTCAAGTCTGGGGAGGTGAGTCTGTGGTCATCCACTGGAAAAGGAGAAGTGTTAATTAATGCCGGCGATAATTTGAACAGAATGTGCCATTCGCATGTAGAGAAAAACACAATAGCAACTGGAGGACAGGAGAACAGGCTAAAGCTATATGATTTGGAAAAACAAAAGCAGATATTTAATGAGAAAAATCTTCCACACGACTGGCTAGAGTTAAGAGTGCCCATTTGGATATCAGACTTGAATTTCTTGCCAAGAACCCAACAGATAGTCACAGTTGGCAGATATGGACATGTAAGAAACATAATTTTTTGCACAACTAATAATTCTTGTATGTCATCTATACTTATAAGAAAGTGTAAGAATTAGACGATCGTAAGCGGTCATGACGCACGCGCATCGGACGACCGTTTACGATCATCTATTTCTTACAAAAATATATACATTAATAACGAATATGTAATTTTATAAAGATACGCCTATACGATCCACGTGCACAAAGACGTCCTGTAATAAATATGACGATGCAAGATGAAGCCTTGACTTGTCTCACCATCGCGCCCAAAGAAAAGTAAGGCTTACACACATAAAATAATCATGTTAAAATATCATTTAAATTATTTAAATCATTTGTCACGATTATATCTTTTTGTTAAAGACATATCATAGTGGGTTCTGGTAAAGGTAGGATGAATCTTGTTGATCTGAGAAAATCAGGCACCATATTGAATACGTACAAAGGATTTGCTGGCGGCGTAACTGGGGTAGCTTGTAGCACAAGTGATCCATACGTCGCGAGTGTCAGTCTCGACAGATATTTACGGATACACCATATCGATACAAAAAAGCTACTCAAAAAAGTAATTTCTATCTTTTGATTTTCTAAATTTAATTCTAAAAAAAAGTTCTAATTCGCATTTTATTTCGTATTGCAGATTTATTTAACATCTAGATTAACGTGTTTAGTAATGAGATCGGATTTCTCTATGGAAACAGAAAACGAGGATGACTCTGCAGAGGATTAAGATGCCAGTTTTAGCGCAAATTTTATATCAATAAAATATTTAAATGACATAAGAATATTCTAGTATTTTCTCAATATTATTAATTATGCATTAGTCATTTGAGATCATCACTTCCGCCTACGTAAGTCTACGTTTATTTTTCTTAACAAAATTTATTCCATTTTCTTGCACGATGAAAACTACGGAATTAACTATCTAAAATACGACTTGAGAAACTTAGAAGCGATCGTTAAATAAAATGTTTCTATCGTATTTTTTCTTTTTTAATCAGTAAACTTGTTCGTTCATATTAAATATTGAAAAGAGGACAATAAAGATTGAACAGGAAACAGAAATATGCCAACACATCGGTTTGTTAAAACTGCGCTATAATGCATAAGCGTTTATATTATTTATTGTACAATTTTATTTATCATTAATATCTCATCGATAGATATATTGTATTTTGGTTCTTAGATGCAGCGCGCACATAGAATTCAATTGCTCGTCCCTCTTCCGACTGATCTCTCTAATATTAAGTAAGATGAAGAGAAGCTAAATATTTTCTTCGACAATTTCTACTGTGCTCTCAACAAGTAACAAGTTATGTCGAAGCCAAATGCGCGATACACGCGGTATACTACAGCATCTTTAATCTTCGGTATTTTTTTAAGTAGAAGGTGAACGGCAATTCGCATACGATTGCAACGTATTTTGTACTAAAGGAAAAAAAAGAAGGAGAAAAGAACGCGCTCGCGCGGCTACAGCACATTAAATGGTATTTTTCAGCTGTACAAAAATCTTTACACTATGTCTCCGGTTAATTATTAATACTAATGTATAGCTCCGTCTTATCCCAACTGCGCTTACGCTCGGATAGAATATTTTATATACGTGTATATATATTCCGATGAACGCATCTCTAGGAATACGTTCGCTACATTTACAGGCACTATCCCCTTCAAAATCGAGTAACTATCGTCCTGCGTTTCTACATGACAAAATTAAGATCAAACATTTCGAATTATGTTCCAACAGAAAGAGATAATTTATGATTCTGAATGAAATTTTTACTGGTCGTCAACAACTTGATTATGCAAAATTGCTTTGAAAAAATATCTCGTCACAGGAATGCTTCTCATTATTCATTAAAGAATTTTTTTAATGCAAAACGTTGCTATGCTAATGCAAACGCTACAAATTTTCTCAAAATTTCGTATCATGATTTGCATTTTTCTCGCGACATGAATAATAATAGCAATTGGATTTACAATGTTGTAAAGTCCCTTTACCTGTTATTTCTATACTTGAAGAGTTCAATGTGTTTGCCAATGAAAATAAAATTAATGTCATACATACCGTTGATGGATAAAGCAATTAATCAATCGAAGAATGTATTTTTGTTTCGGTAAGACATCAGTATCCTTAATTAAAACGATATAATTATAAAATCTTATTTCGATATCACGGATGCTCAGTCGTATTAATGCAATGATTCACGTAATATATATAATTTGGTCAAATATCACATTAAAGCTCGAGTCTCTTTATCCGACTTATCGAATAATCGTGATAATCGAGTATATCACTTCGATTCTTTCAATTTTAACTTTAAATGAATGTATGCGATAAGAATTTCGTATTTAATATATTAGCATATACATAATCATATTTCTCTTTCTCATGAATATCCAAGAAAAGTATAGTTTTAATAGAAAATTAGTTTAGAGAATTACTTTAGTTTGAGTAAATGATCCTGTTTTATTATTTCTATAGTTATTTTGTATAGAATATTATGACTTTAGTATAAGAGGCAAACGAGTTGCGGCTTTTGTACAGAGAGCAATTTACTCTTCAATTCACGTGACGATACATTAAAAATGAAATATCAAAAAAATAGGATAGAGGATACGCAATTTTTTTAGGTGTTACAGATATAATCCGAAATAATTTCTAACTGTGCTTTAACAATACATATTAACAATATACAGCTTGATATACGCTTGATGTCACTTCTACATAATCAATGAAAATTATGTCGGAGAACTTAAAAAGCACCATGTCTATTCGTAAGTATAGAGTGGTGTTAAAATGATCTACTTATTATGCAAGATCAGTAATTAAGATTAGATGTCTCTAATACATCTCTTCAGAAATTGACAAAAGAGAAAAAAATAGTTTTCACAAAATGAGTATGTAAGATGTCAAAGAGACATTTAATTAGATCGGTGACATACAATACGTTCGAAAAAAATCGTAAAAAGCCTCGCGAGTACAACGAGGACGAGTATTCGTCTTTGTCTCGATCGTGGAATACTCTTCGATAACTATTTGCTTTTTAATCTTGGCGTGATCCTAATTACACAAGACCAAAACGAATATCTACGTTCTCACAAAAGGTGAATAACACAATTTGCATAAAGAATATATAATCATGATTAAATTGCGACTTTATCTACAAGATTTGTCGCGTCTCCAAAGCTCATTCTTTCGAAATTCCGTCGTTTCTTTCCAAGTGCTCGATTATAGAAGGGCGCAGAGGATCGCATTCTGAGCAAATAATGGCGCAGCTATCTACTGTCCTTGGCAAAAAGCTCGAACGTCTAATGTATAGCATATCTCTGTGTAGCATTTGTACCATAAAAAATTAAGCTTAAGTGATTTTATACACTATACAGAGCATCGTGTTTGTTATATCATGACGTCGCGTTCAGCGACTTCCTCTGTTACACTATCGTGCCACGTTTATTTCTCAAACGGGCATCTTCTTGCAGTTCATTGCTTCTTTCTCGTGGCGTATATCACTAATCAGCTCGCGTACTCGCGTCCTCGCGTCCTCGCGAAGAACGCAGGCGATAACAAAGATGTACAAATATGCAGTCGTAATATTATTCATTTCGTCGTTACGATTAAAAGCGATGTTAATTCAGTTCGGAGTCTGATCCGTGCGTGGCGGCACGCGAAAACAGCGACGTCTCATTCCCCACCCGAGACGCCCGAGACACAAATGTTTATCACCTCCCGCCACGTCGCCTCTTGAGTTTGATTCACTAATGTCGACTGAGGTTCCGAGATATCCGACGTGACCGGGCTTAGTGGTGGACTAGGGGTCGCCGGTGCTTCCTCGGACTGATTACGATCTGTCGCTTCCGCAGCGTCCTGCTCGACTTCGCCGTCGGCGAGCGATGCTTCCGACTGCGCAGAGCTGGGAGCCTTCGACAAGAGAGAATCTTGTGCTCGTAATGATGTAGAACTACCTTTATTGCTACTGCCATCCTCACCTAAAATTAACAAGTGGAGATATTAATATAAAATTTACGAAAGATATCTATTTTTTTTATTTTATTATAACAATATTTTTACAAAAAAAATTTATGTAAATTGCGCAGCATAAAAATAAAAAACAAATTCCTTAATATATTTCACTTTAAAAATTAATTTAAACAAATAAGTAAACCGAAGATATTAATTATTAATTAAAAATGTTGAAAAATGTTTACTTACCACAAGGCCTAAGAACGAGGTAGAAGAGCAGATCGGAGAGAGATATTATACCGATCACTTTATCGTCATCGTCGATCACTACTAGCCTATGAACCTAAAATTATACAAGATAAAAAATATATGAATTTTGATTTAATAAACGAGAAAGTTATGCTCGATTAAAAAAAAATGCTGCTGTACCTCCGCTCTGACAATCCTTTCCATTATAGTGAACAATGTCTCATCTAATTTGCAGCTCTGAACACCTTCGAACCATTCATTGCGATGCTCGTTTGCTTCGCGCAGCGAAACATCTAGATTATTGTACGTTTTTTCCGCTGCTAAGTTCTAAAAAGACAGTATTTAAGCATCAACACGGGTAACGCATACTAATTTCTTGTGAATGATTTAAAAAAATGTAACTTACAATAACATCAAACTTTGAATAAATGTTCACTAACTTCCCCTCAGAATCGACAATTGGTAACGCTGAGACTCTCCTTTCCACGAATTTTTTCAACGCTAAAATTATGCTAGTTTCTTCCGTAGCTGTTTCTATATTTTCGAACGTGCCTATCCTTAATTCTCTCAGCGTTTTGTTGGTAAAAGATGGTTTCGGTAACTCGTGGATCTATCAATTGCGTGATTGATTAAAACAGGCTTTGCATTGATTAAATGTTACTTACTCTGGAACAGAGTAGCTGTATACTCACATATAGGAAAAGAAACCTAAGTATTCGCTTATGCGTCAAGATATAAAGAACGTTTCCAGTATCGGGGTCTATCACAGGCAATCGGTGGATTCTGTTTTGTATTAAGGTTCTGATAGCCTCGTATAGCGACGCATCCGGCCCGATGCTTACAAGAGGATGAACTTGATCCTTAAGGACCTCTGCAAATCAATAATGCTCCGAATATAATCCCTCGGTAACAATCGCGGTACTCGCGAGGCGTATCGATTCAATGCAATTAGATATCCAGCCTCGCGAGAGCCGATCATATATTAATTATTCTGTGATTCGCACGATAAAAATTTTCCTTATTACAAGAGAAGCTCACTTCTCCACGTATCTAGTTCATGCTCTTCCAATTCATCCATTGTCACCGACGGACTGGTGTAGTACATCTGAAGTATCTTTATGAAGTCCGTTATAGTCAGCATGCCGACGAACTGTTGCCGGGAACTGTCCCATAATGGCGCAGCCCTCAC